TAGGTGACTGCAGCATTGATGCCTACACAGTCAGATGGATTGCAAATTGGCTGTGGGGTCGTACCCAGAAAGTGGCGGTGGACAGGTCATTTTTGACCTGGAGGAAAGTGGGCAGTGGAGTCCCCTGGGACTTGGTCCTCGGGCCTGCACTGTTCAATTTCTTTATTAGCAACTTGAATGACAGGGTGAAGAGCAGCCTGTTTAAATTCACAGATGACACCAAGATTTGGGGTGAGGTGGGCACGCTAGAAGGGAAGGACAAATTACAGCAGGACCTGGACAGGTTACAGGGGTGGGCAAATGAAAATAGGATGGGATTCAATACTGACAAGTGCAGGGTGCTGCACTTGGGCAGTAGGAACCAGCAGCACACCTACAGGCTGGGGAACTCCCTTCTCAAAAGCACAGCAGCAGAAAGAGATCTTGGAGTCATTATTGACTCCAAGATGAACATGCACCGACAATGCGAGAACACAGTCAGTAGGGCTAACTGTACCTTGTCCTGCATCCACAGATGCATCACAAGCAGGGCCAAGAAGGTGATCCTCCCCCTCTATGCGACACTGGTCAGGCCGCAGCTGGAGTACTGCATCCAGTTCAGGGCCCCGCACTTCAGGAGGGATGTGGACAGCACTGAGAGGGTCCAAAGGAAGGCCACTCGCATGATCCATGGACAGCAGGGCAGACCCTATGAGGAGAGGCTACAGGACCTGAACCTGTTCAGCCTTCGCAAGAGCAGGCTGAGGAGGGACCTGGTGGCCATCTACAAACTTACCAGGGGGGACCAGCAGGGTTTGAGAGAGACCTTGTTCCCCCGAGCGCCTCCCGGAGTAACAAGGAATAACGGCCATAAGTTGCTAGAGAGTAGGTTTAGACTAGACATTAGAAGGCACTACTTCAGTCAGGGCGGCTAGGATCTGGAACCAACTTCCAAGGGAAGTGGTGATGGCTCCTATCCTGAGGGTCTTTAAGAGGAGTCTCAATGTCTACCTGGCTGGGGTCATTTGAGCCCAGTTTTCTCTCCTTCCCAGGGCAGGGGGTTGGATAGAAGATCTACAAGGTCCTTTCCGACCTTACATCTATGAATCTATGCTCCAAGATCGTCATCAGGGAGCTGGAGCTGAGAGAGACTTATCTCTCAGCCTCTGCTTCACCACTGTGATTGGAGTGGGGGGCTGGGAGATTCTTATACCTGGGAATCCCTGCCCAGCCAGAGACTTGCTGCTAGCTGCCCCACCAGCAGATTGGGGTAAGGGGTTGGAACCTAGCCCTCCCCTGCAACTCTTTTCAAGTCCCCTGCTCTGAGCAGGGAGCCATGGCTGGGAACTCCCTGCTGCTAGGGCAGGGGGGCATTGTCTCCACCCTGGCAGCAGGCTGCCCCCCAGGGCCAGGGAGCAATGTTCCAGCCCCAGCCAGGAGACAGACACCTCCTAGCCTGGTGCTCCCTACCAGCCCCTGGGCTAGCACCCCAGGGAAGCCTAGAGCTTCTCCTGGTGGTGGCAGGGGCCCATTGCAGGTCCCCAGGAAGCAAGGGCAGTTTGCTGCCATTAGCAGCAAATCTGTTCCCACTTCCCTACACATGTAGATGCCTGCCCAGGAGTGTTTACTTGTGAGTAAACTGCTCCTGGATCTAATGCATGTGTAGACACACCCATAGCAGAAGTAGGTCTGGAGGGGACCTCCAGAGGTCATCTAGTCCAACTCCCTGCCAGAGGCAGGATCATCCCTATCCAAACCATCCTATACAAACCAGAGGTTCCCAACCACTGGGCCACAGCTTGGTACCAGGGTTGGCTGCTGGGTTCTAGCACAAGCCCCCCCACTTGGACTCCCATCTGTCCGCCCAAGCGAGCAGCTGCCACCGCTGGCAGTCACATATTAGGCAGTGGGGCAGCCCTGGGAGGGAGGCAGCCAGGTCTGTGCACCCCGTCCCACTTCCATGCTGGTCTATGGTAAAAAAAAAGGGGGGGGGGTTGCGAACCAGTGATCTAAACTCTCCATAAAACTATCCTCAATCCAGGCACAACATAGACCTAACACCCTAACCTGCCAGAGGTCAAGCGGAGGAACCACAGCAGCCAATGTCCTGCTATAAAATATTGTCAATGTACACTCAAGAGGTCCCAGGTGCTGCAGAGGAAGGTAACCCCCACCCCTGCCCCTGAGTCCATGCCAGTCTGACCCCAAATCACTGGCAATACACAGGGGGTGCACCCCCTGGAAGTGCCACTGGCTCAGGGATCGGCCCCTGGGGGACCTCCCCATCAGTGATTTGGTGCCTCCTCAGACTCTGGAGGCACCAGTCACCCAGCCCCAAACACAGCGATGGGTCTGAGCCTGAGTGGAGCAACAAGATCCTGTCGTCAGGACACTCCAGCTTTGCCCCCAGCAGGCGCCCTGGCACAGCCCAAAGAACCCAGCCTTGCCTGCAGCCAACACCCAATGCCCCCGGCAGGGCTTAAACCAGCCCCCGACACACGTACCGGAAAAAAGGGTCGGGGTGGGGGTATAACCAGCCAAGCGGAGAAGCACGGGTGATACCCACAGCTCCTCTCCGACCCGTCCACCCCCTTCTGGACTTGGCCTCACTGCTCTGACACCCAGTTCGTTTCCTCCTGCGTCCTCCCCGGGCAGGACAGGCGCTTTGCTCCGCTCCCGCAGACACTGCACCCTCCCCCCCACGCCCCGCAGCTCTCTGCTGGCCCCGCCCCACCGCAGAACGCCCCGCCCCTGCCCTCCCGCCATTGGCCAGCGAAGGCTGTTCCCTTGACGTCATTTTCCAGCGCCACCCTCCGCGACCTCTCGCGAGAACGTGGCCACCCGGTTCCCCTTCCCGGCTGCGGGGTGCTGGCGGCGTCCCCTCGGGCTCCAGGGTGAGGAGGAGGAGGAGGGGATGGCGGAGGCCGGCGACCCGGGGGGGACCGCCCCGCCCCAGGGAGACCCCGAGGAGCCCAAGCAGGTATCGGGGACCCCTCCTCGCTCTGGGGGCGGCAGAGTCGGCCTCGGACCGCGGCGCTTCCCGCGGGAAGCCCTGGGGTGCCGCGCCCCGCCGGCTCCAGCAGGGGCGGACCCGTCGAGGTCTCTTGCCGCTGCTTTGCGGCTCTGGGGTTTTTTCCTGGACACGAAACGAGGGAAGGGGGGAGCTGGGAAGGGGAAGGGGAGAGCTGCCATTGCCGGAAGGTGCCTCGGGCCTGTCAGGGGGACCGACAAAAGTTGAGAAGTGCCGATGTGCACTTGCAGTCGCGTTGCATGTTGGTGAGGGGAAGTGGGAGCAGCCCTGGTGTGAGCACAGGGGCACTTGCTAGGCCTGCTTGGGTTCAGGCTCTGACAGGCTGACTTTGGGAAATTCATCGGTTCAGAGGAAGGGACCTCAGAAGATCGTGGGGTGCAGCCTCCTGCTCCAAGCAGGAAAGAGAGCGGGGGATCAGCTGACCCCAGCGAGGGGACTGTCCACTCTCTTCTTGAAGATCTCCAGGGTAGGCGATTGCACCGCCTTTGGAGGGAGCTGATTCCACAGTCTGGACGCTAACTGTGAAAAAGTTTTCCCTAATGTTGAGCCTGAATCGGTCCTCCCAAAGTTTGTGGCTATTACTCCTGGTTTGCCCCTTAGGTGCCATGGTGAACAGTTGCTCACCGAGCTCCCCTATCGTGTAACTCTTCTTCATTTCCATTTTCTCATCTTTAAAAGGGAAAGATAACACTGTCCCATTTAGCGGGAGTTGTGAGAGATGATTTCCCCTGAGATTAGGGTATGCTGTGACTTACTGCTTTTTAAATTGGTTGTTGATAAAAGTGCACTAAAATAAACAGAGTAGTCATCTGTGTGATAGCCTTGTGTCTTGGGATGAGCACGGAGTTCAACTGAATCCACTGGAGTCTGCTTTATGGAATCGTTAGTTGCAGGGAAGACATCGGTAATCACTTTCCCATGTGTAATTAAAGAGAATGTCTCAGTCATTCACTTCCTTCTTGATTCAGAATATCTTGTACTGATCCTCAGTTTCTCTCTCATTGTAAGAGCAAAGATGTCTGGAGGCTGACTGATCTTGGCTCTGTGGGTACAGTCAGGTTAGCAGGTAGAGTCTATTACCTTTGGATTGGATTTGGGGTGAGGAGCAAGATTGGTTGATCAATGAGACCATTCCAGTCACAACTTGAAAGCTTTATTAGGATACACAATAGCAAAGACTTATTGGTACTAATAAAGGCAATGCTTACACAGCCTTGGATTCAGGAAGAACAGGTCTGTTGGTCGGGCATCTCTGTTTTCCTGGGGAATTGTGCTCAGTTGGTTTTTTCCTGCTGAGCTTTGGGAAAGCTCCAGTTTGTTGCTTGCTCCAGGCACAGTATTTATAGATGGTTGATTTGACATGCTAATAATTGATCTCTGATTAGTTTTATATATATTTCTTTGTTTCACTGGAACTTTTTGAACTGGATGGAACCAGATTTTAGTGGCCCTGGAAAAGGGGTCAAGGGATCAACTTAGCTAAGTAAAAGCACACCTATGCATTGGTCCACAGCATATCGGCACCAGTGCAAGGAAAATTGGCATCATTGACAATTGACTTTTTTGGCTGATATGGCTGATGAATGTAGATAAATGCTGCATGTGTATGCGCGGCTGTAGCATGCACGCAGCGAGCCAGGCAGCTTGGAAAGCAGCATCCAGCTGGTAAGTCTGTTGGAGGGAAGGGGTGGGGGTGGGCAGATCCGGGCCCCTGCGGTGAGGGAGGGAGCTGTTCCCCCATGGCTCTAGCTCTGCTCTGTCCTAGCTGGGCAGCGCCAGCCCCAACCCCATTTCCTCACTGCAGGGGCCTTGATTTGTACCCCCATACCCCTTCCCTGCCCCACCCCATTCCCATCCCCAACAGACTAGCTAGCCAGATGCTGCTCTTCAAGATGCCAGGCTGCGTATCGGCAATTGCATCAGTATCGGCCTTTGTGGCTCATTAATAATCGTCCATCGGTATCGGCCCCCCCAAAAAATCTCTATTGGTGCACCCCTATAGCTAAAGCTCTTTATTTTTAGGTGTCTGACCCCAGTCTGTCAATCATTCGGTAATCTTTACTTTAATCAAGATCTTGCTAATCAATTAATTTTTGAGATTGCAGAAGGATAGATTTATCTTCTTTATGGCTTGTCTTTTGGTCCTTGGTCAGTTATTTACTAACTGTGGCCTGATAAAGTTGCTTTGCTGTTTCCATGAGCAGTTGACCTGGTAAAAAACAAACAAACAGCTGAACACCAGAATGTTATGGTATTTTTGTTTTTTTGGTAAGAGTGATAAAATATCCATAAATCATACTTGGTCTGTTTAACGTTTTCTTTTTATTCTGGTGTTAGGCTATTCTACAACATGTTGGTACTCCTTGTTACCCATATCAGCCATGATGGAATTACTACAGTGATTTGCAGGGTAAACATAAGCATAAAACACTTTGGAAGCCTTGTCATGTAAACTAGGAATGTAAGCACATTACCTTAGTACAGTCCATAATAGATAAAATTGTCTAACTTGTTTTTAATTGTGGGAGTAGGAGTACACTTACATAGACTAAAGTACAGTATCTAAAGAAAAATTAGAATTAATTTATGTTGGCCATCTGCTTTTCGCTTATACATCAGGCAAGTGTTCCGCATTGCATTTGTCATGCAAATAACTTCCGTAAACTATTTTTTTTAATGTAAAAATTAGGGCACTGTATTCCAAGATTGTTATTGTATATTTACCATTGGCAGATTCCGTGCCCACCATGTGGGAGACCTGGGTCTGATTCCCGGACACGCATATAATGACAACCATCAAGGCACTGAATGCTCAGACTCAGTGTGGTCTGTGGATTCTGTCTCAATGGCTTAAAGGAGGGGATGGAAGCTCTGGGCAGCATCCAGTCCTCCATACACCTGCCTAGGCATACAGGATTCCCTCCTTTTATGCAGGTTCTGTATGTGCAAATTCGCTCTTATGCCATGACCCTTTTTATACCAAAAATGCGTTACATGCAAGATAAATTCACTCTTATGCAGTCGGTGTGGTGGAAGCCTGCAGTCAACTGCTTGGTGTGGTGCATGGTGGGAGTGATGCGCACTAAAATATAGTCTCCTGTGTGGATCTGTGCTCTTTGGTCGCTGTCTGTGACATGAGTTTCTGTAGTTGTCATCCCCATTATGGTAGCATCCTGTGCTTGTATGAACTGTCTGCAGTTGGTGAGTACCAAAATTGTCTTGTATAAGTGGTAGAAATGAGTCTGGGGGGTCAGTACAGTCAAGGTCTTGGAACATATCCCTATTTGTTACATTGTAAAGTGGGTTCCCTTTATGCAAATTCGAGTTATGCGCTGTTTTACAGGAACGCATGTACAGCATAAAGCGAGGGAAACCTGTAATGTCACATGGTATATACACGATAAGTGACATCTGCTCATTATTTGTATTGAAGTCAACCCAGGATTTGGCAACTTGTTTGTGAAACTCATCTGAAACAAAGTGGACAGTGATAAGGGAGACACAAGTGCTGTGAAATCACATGTACAGCATGAAGAAACACCTTGACAGGCTGGATACCTTCAAGTCAGCCAGCCCTGATGGTTTATACCCAAGGGTACTCAAGGAGCTGGCAAGCATCATAACTCAGCCCCTGGCACGGATCTTTGAGAACTCCTGGTGCTCTGGTGAAGTGCCCAAAGATTGGAAGGAGGCTAATGTGGTACCTATCTTCAAGAAAGGAAGGAAAGTAGATGCGGCAAACTACAGGCCCATCAGCCTGACCTCTATCCTGGGGAAGGTCTTGGAAAAGATTAATGAAGAGGCCATCCTTAA